TAAAAAAAAAAAAAAAAAAAAAAACTTAGACGTACATAGTTTCTTTTGCTTTAATGCTAATAGAGCTACAAATGAGTTTCTTGTCTCGAGAATATTTAAGTAGGTAATATTTGTTGTTAGGTGCGTTCAAAATAGATTTAAATTTTTCCTTACTCGATAAGAAAATTTTGATAAATATCATCCGCATACCAAATAAATTTATTGTTTTTTCTTTGCTTGAAAGTAAATGTGTTACTTTTTGTGAGATCTCACATCGGTTGAAGAGGAGAACAAAATGTTTCTTATAAAGGTGTGGAAACCTCTCCCTAATAGATGCGTTTTAAAACCGTGAGGCAGACGACGATACATAATGGGGCCAATATGGGTATCATCTTTCGTCTTATGGGCATTATCTGAGGTTGTTGTAACCGGAGAAAGTAGAGATATTTATTGTTTTTAGAATAAGTGATAATAAATGGAGAAAAAATGGTAGGTGGTTGGTTGAAGGAGATGCACAAATAATTACATGATATTTTGAATGGAAGATGGATACTTCATTGTTTGAACCTTTTCTTATGGTGGTTTAGCTTTCCTTTCTCTTTCATTTTGTCTCATCTTTTTAGGATAAGATTTCTATACTTAAAAATTTTAAATTGGGGTACTATCTCGAGAAATCTAGAACTATATCTTACGAGCGAGACTAGGTAGACATATGTTGTTATCAAAGAAAAATAACCCGTCACCGAATGACTTAAATTTGTGACTTAGTCAAATAAAATGGCTCACGTCTAAGCTTGAATTTATCTAATGAAATTGCATAAAGAATTCACCCATCACGGTGATTCTAACTAAAAAGTCATTCCAAACATACTCTCTCCGTAATAGGTGTTGAAGATTATTGGAAGTGAGTACCACATTGATTAATTTAGTGGAAGATCATGGGTTTTTAAGTGAGGAATACTGTCTTAATTGGTATGAGTCTTTTTTAGAGGCTCCAAAGCCATCAGAGCTTATGCATGTCATACCATTGTGAAAGTCGTGATTTGTGTATGTGTTCGTTCTCATCTTCATAAAGTTCATGTTCCACTTACTGTATTCATAGTTCTGGAACTGTTTCAAGTGCATGCTTGTCGGTGGACAATGCTTCTACTGATCCCACCAAATCCACGGTGTATAAAGTGTCGTCTTCAAGCTCATACACGCTCAGGGACTCCGTAGCTTCTCGACGCACGAATCCTTTCTCTACCTCTTTAGCAAATTCTCCAGGTTTCTTCCTTACTTGATTTTGGTTATGTCTGTCGTGTTTTTTTTATCAAATTGATGGCCCCAATTCGCTCATATTGTAAAACCTGGGTTAGATTCGGAGGTTTATGTTGGCAATAGTTTGATTCATTTATATGCTGCTTGTGGTTTTTCGAGTTAGCATTGAAGGTGTTCGAGAAAATGTCTAACAGAAGTTTGGTTTTGTGGAATGTGGAAGATTGATGCATATGGTCAATTTGGGCTTTTGGAAAATGCTGTCAGTCAATCTTTGAGCTCGATGGCTATACAATGCAATTCGCTTGTGTCGGTATTAGTGCTTTATCTCTGAGGATGTGGCGCTATGGCTGGTGATGGCCTGATCAACTCCTCACAGGTGGATATGTACAGGAAGTGTGGTGGTTTCTTGAGAATGGCTCAACAGATCTTTGATACCATGTGAGAGATCCCAATTTATTGGAGTGGGGAATAAAACATTTTTTATGAGAGCGTAGAAACTTTTCTCTAAATGTGTTTCAAAACCTTGAGGGAATTCGGCAAAGGAAAGCCCAAAAATGACAATATCTGCTAACGGTGGACTTGAGTTGTTACAAATAATATCAAAACCAGACATTAGGTAGTATGCTAGCGAGGACCCTAAGCCCTCAAGCGAGATGGATTGTGAGATCTCATATCGGTTGGAGAGGGGAACGAAGTATTTTTTACAAGAGTGGAGAAACCTCTCCCTTGTAGACGCGTTTCAAAATCGTAAAGGGAAGTCTGAAGGGAAAGCCCAAAAAAGACAATATCGGCTAGCGGTAGGCTTGAGTTGTTACACAATGTCCAAACATGACTTCAAATTCATGGAATTCAATCATTCGAGAACTCACTAAGGTAAAGTGTACACAAAAATGTGTTGAGGATTATTGGGAGTGAATCCCACGTTGGTTAATTTAGTGGAAGATCATGGGTTTATAAGTGAGAAATACTATCTCCATTGGTACGAGGCCTTTTGTGGAAGCCCAAAACAAATCCATGAGAGCTTATACTCAAAGTGGACAATATCATACCATTGTGGAGAGTGGTGAGCCATGCCCACATTGGTTAATTTAGTGGAAGATGGTGGGTTTATAAGTGAGGTTAAGTGAGGAATACTATCTCTATTGGTACGAGGCCTTTTGGGAAGTCCAAAGCAAAACCATGAGAGCTTATACTCAAAGTTTGAGTGGACAATATCATACCATTGTGGACCAGAGCAAAGCCATGAGAGCTTATACTCAAAGTTTGAGTGGACAATATCATACCATTGTGGAGAGTCGTGATTCCTAACAAAATGTCATCCATGTGGTGGCATCTACGGAGGTTATACAGATTCAACTCTCTGTCAAGATGGTTGTTAAGTACAATGTACCCTCGTATATTTCTGCAAGCTACATTGGCATGAATCTTGACCCTCTTAGGTTCATATTTTCCTTCGAGAACGGGATTCTAGGTTTAAATGTTTCGTTTCCCTCTCCAATCAATGTGGTATCTCACAATTTACCCTCTCTTGTAGACCCACTATCCTTTTATAAAAAAATGCTTTATTTCCCTCTCTAACCGATGTGGGATCTCACAAACCACCCTTTGTCCTCGTTGATACCGGCTCTAATACCAAGCTCACCGTTAGCATATATTGTCCGCTTTGGTCTGTTATATATCGTCGTCAGCCTCACGATTTTAAACACACGTATACTAAGGAAAGGTGTCCACTCCCTTGTAAGAAATGCTTTGTTCCGCTCTCCCGCCGACGTGGGATCTCACAACTCAATGTTTTTAATTTTGAAGTACAAACCTACCTGAGCTTACAAGCATATGTTTTATCTCTGAAACTCCCAAGTAGAAATGATGCAGCTTATTTTTCTTAGACATTCCACGGACTCCTCCTTGGAAGGCTTTCTAAAGAAGAGATGTCATGAGAAATTTCTCCAATTTTCAATACAGATATTATCATGAGATATCTTAATAGATTTCATCATTTCAAGAATGGGACGTATTCCTGTATGAACTTTTGGTGATTTCTGTGTAGATCAGCCAATAAAGTTATTCAATTGTTTGAAAAGTGCAGGTTGGAACTGTTCAGAAATGAAATAATTCAATGATATGCCAAGTCAACATGAATTAACAGGAGTTGGAACCTTTCCAAAAAGTCTGCCTTAAAGTCAAGACTGCAAGAACTATCTCCCTTCCTATGGCAATTCAAGAACAGCTTTGAATATCAATTACACAAAAAGCTTCCTGAATTTAGCTGCAATCACTGATATGGAAGACTACACATATGGCTTTAAACACCCTTTTGTTGTAACTATTTCTGTGTGAATCTGAGTGAGTCTGAACCAAGGTCTGAGACTTGTCTGAGTTCATAATAAACGTTGCTTTGCAAACTCCTGCCCCACTGGAAAACAAAAGATAGCCAAGATGTTAAGGAAAAGGATCAGAACCAGTAGGGCCAACTTAGAGAAAAACGCAACAGGAAAAGGTTTGAAGATATCTCACATTTTGATGACTCGGGAACAGCAACCACATGCATGGTAGCATTGTTGGGAGGAAGTTGCAGGCGAAGGGGATAAAGATTTCCATTCAATGGGTTGCGAGTGCACACGATGATATCTTCAATCCCTGTTTCTTCCTCCAGTTTACGAGTCAGGCCCTCCACCCCACTTCCTTTGAATGTAAAACAAGAACCCTCCACTGTATCTTCATCCACATCTCCACTTTCATCAGCCACATGGTAGTAAACAGTCCTTCCTTCAGATTTGGGCGGTACACTGATTGTTGAATCAGTAGACTACAAGAAAACCCACCAAAAATGGGTATCAGAATTTGAAGAACAGGAAGAAATCTGTTGCCTTGAAGGAAGTTTTTTTTTTTACAGAGATCTCATACCTCAAGTCTTGAGTAATGCGCCGGTTTGCCTGATGTAGAAGGGGGCGAGCCGGGATTGAAATCCAGAGAATCCATATGCTCAATCGTGGGAGCTTTACGAATAAAAGACTGGACTTGAATCTCAACAACATCGATGTCCCAGAGGATCCAATCCTGTGTAGCGGATCGACTCGGAATATCATGGGTGACCGAGTTTCGCCACGGCGGTAGACCCCCATTGGCTCTTAAGAAGTTCCCATATCGGGTTTTCAACTTGACCTGTGACCCTTCTCTGATGGGTTCCCATTCGACGGAGGAATCGAGCCGTCGGGGAAGGGTTTGAAGCACTTTCCGGCCGGTCATTCCGAGCAAGAAAGGGAGATTGCTAGCAGTGAGGTATTTGCCGTAGCAGCTTTTGAGACGGATGATAGAATCAGAGGTGGGGCCGGATGTAAGCTCGACTGACCAGCGAGCTGTATTGGAGGATCCGCCACGGTCTTGGTTGACAGACTCCTCATCGTCGTTGGCGACGAGGTACTTGTCGTGGTGGCTACGGAGACGGACGGTCTTGGCTTTGCCGAAGAAATCCATTGAAGATCGAGAAACAGAGGAAGTCTTCAAATTTGGATTCTGTCCAAACAAAGAAGGCAGTGAATTTATAACCAAATTCCTATTTGCTCTTGAATCAGGAAACTTCTAAGTAAACGAAGGAGGATAAGAACAGAACGCGGGCGTTTCATTGTCAAAACTGGTAAAACAAAGTCAGCTAGCGATGCAACTTGAAATGACGCGGTTTTAACGTTGAATATTCGGTGACTCTGTCTCAGTCAACATTCGCGCCGCCGGACCGGCGTAACTCAAGCCGCCTCTCCGATACGGTAAAAAGTTCCTTTTTCGTTTTTTCTTTTTTTAAATAATATTAAAATAGAAGTGAAAATAAGATACCTACTCCTTGATTATATCTACATTTTGAATTTTATAAAAAAAACTAAAATTAAATAATTAAAACTATTGTCCATAACTAATTTATATAAGAGACTAAAAATTAAAGTAAACTGACACAAATAAAAAATAATGATAAAGACAGGTTGTGTCTAGTGGATTTAGAAACTACCAAAATTCTAATTAATAATTTTTTTTAATTGTGTTTAATTATGTAACGAAATAAACCGTCGTGTAATTATTCAACATGGACCACGGCGGAGTAACGTGGTTAGCCCTCAAATTGTTAGACGAACACGACTCTCCACAATGGTATAATATTGTCTACTTTGAGCATAAGCTCTCATGGCTTTATAAGTATCCCTTATAAATCCATGATCATTCACTAAATTAGCGGATGTGAGACTTTCATCATCCTAACACTTCCCTTCGAACAAAGTACGACTCCCCTTAATCGAGGCTCGACTCCTTTTTCTTTTGGAGTCTTAGTCATTTTTTACTAGGCCTTAGAGGAGGCTCGACTCTTTTTCTTTTGGAGTCCTTTGTTCGACATTGAGAATTTACAATCTATTGGTACGACTAAGTTTAGGGCATGGCTTTGATACCATGTTAGACGAACACGACTCTCCACAATGGTATGATATTGTCCACTTTGAGCATAAGCTCTAATAGCTTTGCTTTGGGCTTCCCAAAAGGCCTTGTACCGATGGAGATTGTATTCTTCACCTATAAACTCATAACCATTCCCTAGACTCACCAATTTCACCCGTTTTTCATGCCTCGTTTGCAGCGCCTTCTTCCCCGTTGCACCGAGTAGAAAATTAAACTCCGTGGTGGAGACGTACTGGCCACGGCGGCTCCGAAGGCGAGGGTACGTAATGGAATTTAAAATTTTTGTTAAGCATAAAATTGAATTATATTTTATTATTATTATTATTATGTTTGTGGCCGAGGGCACATGCGTAATATCGCAATATCATTTAATGATTGCTTTAGGCAATAAATATGATTACATAATAATATGGGATACGTGACAAAATTGTATTGTTTTAGTCCAAGTTGCAATGCGTAGATAGATAGCAATTAAAAGGGGTTCCACATTAAATAGTGTCCCCAACAAATGAATGGTGAAAGCATGCATGTCTCCTAGTTTTTAATTAATGCTCAAAATTCTTTCTTTTTCCTCTTCTTTTTCCGGGTATTAATGATTTATGTATTCTAAAAATTTCAACGTATAATTAACTAGATATTTTCACGGAAATTGAATACGATACCAGATGGTGGGTGTCTACTGATGTAACAGTGTTACTAGTAGATATTGTATGTTTTGGCTCGTTATGTATCACCGTTAGTTTCACAATTTTAAAACGTGTTTGTCAGGGAGAGGTTTATACCCTTATACAAAATGTTTCGTTCTCTTCTCTAACTAATGTGGAATCTCACAATCCACCTTCAAGTGCTTCGTTCCCTTTTCCAACCAAATCAATGTGGAATCTTACCATCTGCCTCTAAATGCTTTATTCTCTTCTCCAACTAATGTAAAACCTCACAATCCACCCCATTCGGGGACCCAACATACTCGTTGACACACCTTGTCTAACAAAGTCAGTGTGTTAAAGATGGTCATAGTAGACCTTTTTTCTAGGGTTGATGTCGACCCTCCTATGGTAGACCCACTAAATTAATAATTGTGCTGGTGTTTTTCCTATTTTTAGAGTTGGCTAATTTTATGCTCTCTAAAGTTGTTAGTATGCAAGGCCAACCAAGTTAATCGTTTTGTTAATGGAATTGATGTTCTTGTTGGTGACACCGCCTGCTCTTTGACTTTGATATCATTTGTAACGATACGAGCCCACCACTAATATATATGTCCGCTTTGACCCATTACGTATCGCCGTGAATTTCATGGTTTTAAAATGCGTTTGTTGAACAGAGGTTTACACACCCTTACAAGGTATGTTTCGTTCCTTTCTCCAACCGATATAAAATCTCACCATAAGCCAAACGTAGATAGTATCTTCTTACTCAACTACTCTCTCGAGCTCGAAAAGAAAGAGAAAAAAGTGATAATAATTTGTTTTAAGGTAAATAGCTAAGGCAATGAAAGGCGTAGCAAAAAGCTAGAGAAGTCCACAGTGAAAGGTAGCAAATGGATGGCTAAATTGAATGAGCTTGCCTCATATTTCCCTCCATTCTAGAAATGATTATAATTCACATTCACATGATTTCAAATTCTTGAACATTTTTTTGTGTTCAAAAGGGCAAAATGGTAAATTCAAACGTTTGAAGAAAAGTTGTCCACAAATGAAAAAAAAAATTGAAAAGGGCCTCTCTCTCCCCCACATGTTTACCCCCAAAATGAGTTAGGTCAACAGTTTGAGCAAAAGCTATGAGAAAAAATTGACACAGAAACCAAAAAGCAAAAGCAAAAGCAAAAGCTAAAGCAATGAGGAAAGAAACAAGCAAGAAACTTTGAAGTTTGGGGTTTGTAGGCGCAGAGCTCACAGCAGCGAGACCTGCTCTGCTTTTAAAGCTTTTCTTTTGTTTTTTTCCATTCCAAAACCACCCCCTTTGCCTTCACGTGACCTTACACTGTCCCCATTTCCACTCCCTTTCCTTTGCCTTTCAGATTTGGATCTCCTTCCCCTTCCATTTCTCTCCATTTTCATGTTTCCATGCCTTCTCCACCCTCCTCTGTTACTGTCTCCGCCGTCGTTCTGTTCCTCCTCCACCTCTCTCCTCTGTTTTCCACCGCTGACCCTTCTAGCTCTCCATGTCCGCCGTTCTCTTCCGACCCCGTTTTCCCATTTTCATCTCGTCCCGGTCACGGCCATCCTTCTTTTCAGGTGCGTTGCTCTTCTCCTCACTCTGTTCTCACCATTAATGGGATTTCCTTTTCTCTTCTGAGCTTCAATACGACCTCCACTACCCTCCTTCTTTCCCCTCTTCCACACAATGCCACTTACACTTCCCATGGATCGAACCACCGCTGTTTATCTCGTTTCAGTTCTATTCCCAGCCGTTCGATTAATCTCTCTGGCTCCCCGTTCCGAATCTCAGATGGGTATTGTTCTCGGCTCTCTCTTCTCATCCCCTGTTCGCCGCCGCATCTTCCCAACTGCAGTCATTGTCCGTGGGAGTGTAGTCTTATTAAGAAGCCACTTAATTTGCTCCATGGATGTGGCGTTCAGCATCAGTCGTTCTTGGAGCAAGGTTGTCAAGGCGAGGTGTTGGAGTATTTAGACAGGATTCTTAGATTGGGGCTTGAAATCGAGTGGGATACAGATCAAGATCCTTTCTTTATTAAGTGTACTGATTGTAAAGCTAAAAATGGTGTTTGCGGCTTCAATTCATCAGACCCAGATAGGCATTTCATTTGCTATCATGCTCAAACTCGATATACATATCCTAATAGAATCGCGATTTTCTCCTCTGTTTTTGCGTTGATGTGCTTGTTACTGGTTGTCGCCGTCACGACAGCTTTTTTCCGGTCGAGATGGTTGAGATCTCTCGCCATTGAAGTAGACCCGACAACCCAGTTCCTCAGTCGTCATCGTTCACCTAATCTTCTCCCGCCGGTTTTCCCCTACGAAGAATTAGAATCCTCGACGAATCGATTCGACCCGAAGAGGAAACTGGGCGACGGCGGATTTGGGTCTGTGTATTTGGGTCAGCTCAACGATGGACGATTAGTGGCGGTGAAGTATCTTCACAAGCACCATGCTGCCGCTCCTTCCGGCAGGGCGCTCTTCACCAAGTCGTTCTGTAACGAAATCTTGATTCTTTCTTCAATTAATCACCCGAATCTTGTTAGGTTACATGGGTATTGTAGCGACCCAAGAGGGCTTATTCTTGTTTATGATTATGTACCAAATGGGACGCTTGCCGACCATCTCCATGGTTGTAATAGCTTGTACCGGAAGGGATCTCTGTCATGGCAAGTAAGGATTGATATTGCTCTGCAAATCGCCATGGCTATGGAGTATTTGCATTTCTCTGTGGTGCCGCCGATTGTTCACAGGGACATTACCTCTTCGAACATTTTTATGGAGAAAGATATGAGAATCAAAGTTGGGGATTTTGGGCTTTCGAGGCTGTTGGTTTTTTCAGACACGACGTCGGCTTCATCTGGGTATGTCTGCACCGGACCTCAGGGGACACCCGGTTACTTGGATCCGGATTATCACCGGTCGTTCCGGTTGACGGAGAAGAGTGACGTGTACAGCTTTGGAGTGGTGTTGTTGGAGCTGATTTCTGGTTTAAAAGCGGTGGATCAGAGCCGAGAGAGACGAGAAATGACGTTGGCGGATCTGGTCGTGTCGAAGATCCAAATGGGTCAGCTCCATCAGGTGGTGGACTCTGTTTTGGGTATCGACGGCGAGGTAATCAACGGCGTTGAGGCAATGGCAGAGCTGGCTTTCCGGTGTGTAGCGGCGGACAAGGACGACCGCCCCAACGCCAAGGAGATCGTGGAGGAGCTCCGGCGGATTCGTAACTGCTGCAGTCGTGGAGGTGTCCGGTCGTCGATTTCAAATTGAGTGCTGACGTGGTTGATTGGTCGGCGAGTTGATTTACGTGGCTGCCACTTGCGAATGTGGGCGGTTTGACGAGTTCAAACAATAGTGACAGGACATTTTTCGGATGCTTGCCTGGTAAATTTCAAATATCCACGTGGCTACTGTCACAACTGGGAGAGGTGACTGTAAAATGTACATATTCTTTTGTTTTTTCTTCTATTTTCCAAAATTTACTTTTTTTTTTTAATCTCTATATCCCGACCTTATCCTATAAATGACACAAAACCACTAATTTTATAATTAAAATAATAAAATAAAAACCCTAAAGAACGTAAGTGTTTCCCACAAAAAGTTGTGTTCAAACCTTAGGTGTCGAATTCAGATTCCAAATTATAATTTGAATCTTAGGCATTAAGTATTAAAGATGGTATCCCTAGTAGTACAGTGGTTCGGGGACTAACCAAGATAGAAACGGACGAGCATGTGATAGTAAATGGAGGTCCATTCCGAATGAGAATAATCATAAAGATGTAAGATTATGATTAAGAAAGATGTACAAAATTGAAAGTTGCATTTTTTTTTTTTTCAGTTATTGAGATAATCTACGAGGTGTTTTGATATTTTTTAAATATAATATTAATTATATACATATTTTTAAAATTTTTAAATAAGTTGAAAGTTATTAATGAAAATATTTTTAAAATTAAAAAATATTTTAGAAATATATTAAATATTAAAATTAAAAAAAAAAAAAGGTTTATTTTTATTAATTTAACCTAATATTTTGACGCGCGCAACCATTAGGTGTCAAATTGTATGCGATGTCGGTTATTGATAGCGTATAGAAAAAGAATAGTGTTTATTATCCTTCGTCTTTCTCGAACGCAAATTTCGTCTCACGTTTAAACGATCAATCTATCGTGCAGCTGACTTACCGGCGGGGTTCGCAAGTCTACCGGACTCGACGTCGGCGGTTTTACAGAGAAGGCGGACGGAGATTCCGATGGGTAATACGTATTGTGTTTTGTTCGGCTGCGTGGAGCAAGCGAGTGTGGGGGTGGTTGAGAGATGGGGAAGGTTTGAAAAATTGGCTCAGCCTGGGCTCCATTTCTTCAACCCTTTTGCCGGTCAGTGTCTTGCGGGATTCCTCTCCACTAGGATTTCCTCCCTCGATGTTCGTATTGAGACCAAGACCAAGGTATCTCCCCTTTTGTCTCTCAAAATTATCCTCTGGTGGTCAATCATGAGTTTTTATTTGACTCCCTAATGATATTTGTTTTACGATCCTTCTGCTTTCTTTCATCTTCGTTGTATATGAATTTGTTGTGGCCTTCGCTAATTTGATTTGAATTCATAATTTCTTTTTATTGGAATTAAAGTTTAACGAAATGGCTCGCAAGATCCCATATCATTCCGATGACCTTGGGTCGATTAATGTTATCCTTCGTAAGTAGTACATCTAGATCGTTGCTTAGCTCTTACGTATTCTGTGGAGTATCGTGTTGTAGCTTGGCGGTACTGTAGATGGGGTTTATGTAATAGATTGAATAAGGAAGGAATGAGATCGGCCATACAGCTAAATTCCATCTCTATATGAAAACTGAGGTTTGGATGGTATTATTCGAGGAGAAGATGATGTGTTTCTGAATATGAATGAAATGGCGTGCTTTAATAATCTGGTTCATGACCACGAATTCTGATCTCCTTCCTGCAGGATAATGTCTTTGTGCAATTGCTGTGTTCAATTCAGTATCGGGTCATCAAAGAAAATGCTCATGATGCATTTTATGAGTTGCAAAATCCCCAAGAACAGATTCAGGCCTACGTGTTTGATGGTATACGATCTCATCTCACAGTTGCTACTTAGCTCTATAATTCAATTTTAATGTATTTTCTTGGTTTAGTTATTACTTACTAATGCATTTTGGTTATTGACCGAAGTGGTTCGAGCCGTTGTCCCTAGAATGAATTTGGATGAACTCTTTGAACAAAAGGGTGAAGTTGCTAAAGCTGTATCGGAGGAACTTGAGAAGGTGACTTGACCTTTTATTAGATTGCTCCTCACTTTCCCCTCCAAACAAGAAAAATCTTTTGACTTTTAGCTTTTGAATGTCATGCTATTTCCCCCTCCCTCTCTTTGCTTTCAATCATTTGAATATTTGTGAGGGTTGTTTTGATTGTTAGGAGAAATGAATTATATAAGTATGAGATAATGTAGCCTATGTTTACTTAGTAGATTTGTGATTCGTAGAACTTAAGTGTAACTTGGGAAGTATGCTTAAAACATAGGTTTAGGTAAGCATGGATCTGCATTGTTTGCGCAAACTCATAACACCTGAGGATGAACAAACACCATACCAAATAGTCCATGAATCAAATGCCTTCACAGGGTTTCATATCCATGGTTTTGGACCATCATTGCCTTCTTAATGTCTTGTACATCATTCTTTTCATTATACAAAAGGGAAAAGAAAAGGAAAAAAGTAACTCTGCAGCACATGCTTCTGTGAGGTGTCTAACACAATAGTATGTGCTCCCTCCATGATTTCTTAGGTAGTTATGCCCATTCATGGTATTATTAGAACTTGTACAAAGTTTCTGATGTTGGAAAATTTTTTTATTGCTTTTTTTCCTTGAGAGGAAGTATAACAGCCCGAGCCCACCGCTAGCAGATATTGTCCTTTTAGGCCGTTCCCTTTCGGACTTTCCCACAAGATTTTTAAAATGCGTATGCTAGGGAGAGGTTTTCACACCCTTATAAAGAATGCTTTGTTCCCCTCTTCAACCGATGTGAGATCTCACAATCCACCCCCCTTCGAGGCCGAGCATCCTTTCTAGCACTCATTCCTCTCTCCAATCGATGTGGGATCTACACCGGGTTGTGTGCCAGCAAGGACTCTTGGCCTTGAAGGGAGGTGAATTTTTTATAAGGGTGTGAAAACCTCTCCCTAGCAGACGGGTTTTAAAAACCTTGCGGGGAAGCCTGAAAGGGAAAGCTCAAAGAGGACAATATCTGCTAGCGGTGGGCTTGAGTTCTTACAAGAAGGAAGGGTTGGTCTGGAGAGAAAGGTATCGGATTTAAGTACTTACTGCTGGTGAGTGGTGAGTTTGAATGCTCTGGGAGTGGTTTGGGAGTACCTTTTGTTGGTTTCTGGACAGCCGATGATCAAGCATGTTATATATTATGTATATAAAGATCAGTGCAGAGTCTGGATCTCAGAAAAACATGTAGTATTTGAATGTACTATGCATGATATTTGTTTCAATAACATTCGTTGATTTGGAGTCTGGAAAACTTTTAAATGCTTCTCATTTATCTTCGTCATAATTAGCTTATTATTATTTGGTGCATCTTAGATATAGAATTTTGTTGGGACCTCCTAATATGATCGACACTAGGATTTCAACACACATTCTCATTTTGAATCAGGTGATGGGAGACTATGGATATAGTATAGAGCACATTTTAATGGTCGATATAATACCGGATGCTTCGGTGCGCAGCGCAATGAATGAGATTAATGCAGGTAGTGATCTTGGTCATTTTGCTTGTCATATCATATAGGAGGAGCCTTTGTCTCTCTTCCCCTACTCTCCTTCTGGATATTCCATGGACCATTCATATAATTATGGGATCCTCAGCTTCGAGTACTTCATTTTCTTCTACAGCTCAAAGGCTTCAACTTGCTAGTGTATACAAAGGCGAAGCGGAGAAGGTGCTCCTAGTAAAAAAGGCAGAAGCTGAAGCTGAAGCGAAATACCTAGGCGGGGTCGGTGTGGCGAGGCAGAGACAGGCAATCACAGATGGTCTGAGAGAGAATATCTTGAACTTCTCCCATAGGGTGGAAGGTACCTCAGCTAAAGAGGTCATGGATCTGATCTTGATTACTCAATATTTTGACACCATCAAGGACCTTGGAAATTCATCCAAGAACACAACTGTGTTCATTCCTCACGGTCCGGGCCATGTTAGAGATGTCAGCGACCAAATACGCAGCGGGATGATGGAGGCTGCGAGTGCACAGGCAGCGCTCACTAATGATGAGGTGAACATCAATTTACTCCATTGATTCAGCAAGTACCTGCAACCACCATGTGTATCTCTTCTTTCATCCAACTATGAAAAAATGTTCTTTACATTTTAATAATGATTTCCGATTCGATACGTGTTTTGATTTGATGTATAGAAAGAGTCGAGGGTTGATATTCAATAAGATGGAAAATGATTCTTCTGATATATAGATTTTATTATTCCCGATCGACAAAATGTTCATATCGGATTTCTTCATCATGCCTTATGCTGTGACAAGGTGGGTGAGATATCAACTCTCCTCCATTTGCCAGGGACAAGCACTCTTTGCACACTTGCACGAGTGGGCATTGAGCGATATTGTTTGAACTGAATGTTGGGCGTGCTGGGATTGTTTGGATCCTTCGAACTTATTGCAAGTAACTAAACTTATAAATTAACTCGAAAATAACTTTCATTATAATTATTGTTATTTTTTTATTACTATTGCAAATTTAAACCTAACATAATTAGTAAATATAGTGTATATTTGTCAAATTAAAATTCAGTTTTAAAAGTTAGAATTAGTATCGCTTCAAAAGGAAAAAAAAAAAAAAAAAAATCATTTTCTGTGAAGGCAAATAAGTAGTTTAAATACATTTAAAAAAATAATAAATTGGTATAAAATACAAATTAATATCCGACAGTTCACAACTTCGTTGACAAATTGAAGAACGGCGCGCAGCAGCAGTAAAAAACGCGGCCGCTCAGGGTTTAAGAGAGCAGAGCGGGCGTCGTCTAGGGTTTAAGAGAAAGCTTCGTTCAATCAATATTCTCCCGTCTCAAAAATGGGTTTTTGGGGTATGTTTCTAATACAATTCCATCTTCATTATCTCATTTACTTGTGCGTTGGATCTCTGGTTACGCATCTTCTCTGCTGCTCATCGTTTTCAACTGTGTAACTTAAGTTAAATGGTTTAACATCACCCCATTGTGCTCTTTCTTATTTTGTTCACTCATGTGTGGATTTTTGGCATGCTTTTAATACTCACGTATGTCTGTATCTTCTGTTGTTTTTGCTTGTCCTAGGCATTGAAGTGAAACCAGGCAAACCGTACCCTTACCATTCTGATAATGTGCCGGGAAAGCTCCGGATAACTCAGGTTTGTTGCCTGCATGACGCCGCTTTGTAGGTGTACAATTATAATATATATATATATATATATATATATATATATATATATATATATATATATATATATATATATATATATATTCTATTTGAATGTCTCTGTATGTGGAGTGGGGATGTTATGGCGAGGTAATATTACTTTGTTTGAAATTTATTCTCACAACGTTTAAGTCGACGGAGTTTCGATTTGGCCCATGTGATTTTGGGTTTGCCTCTTTCAGTTTGCATTATGACTTTTGATTTTGTAAATCTGATAATACTGTTGTGGTGTTATGCTGCGAGCCAATGAATTATATTGGATTTTAATTTTCGTTGCTTAATATTTTGAAGATGTATTGTTTATTTGATGGAATTTTCTTTCTTTACTACTTTTTGGGATGACTTATTATTAGTTTTTTTCTATCTTTGTAATCACCTAGGCAACTTTGGGCTCTGGCTCATCGAAAGAGAGAAGCATCATTCAGTGTTCTGTTGGGCATAGGAGTCCAATTTTTTTGTGCTCTTTGATACCGAATAAGATTGAATCATGCCCCTTGAATCTTGAATTTGAGGAAGATGATTTGGTAGCCTTCTCAGTTATCGGCCCACAAAGCATCCATCTTTCTGGTTATTTTGTAGCTGATGAGGGAAATTTCATCAGGGATGACTATGAGTCGTATCCTTTTATAAAATGCTTTGATTAACATTTTTTTTTTACTACAGTTACATATCTCTTTTCTTGAGGAGAAGTAGTATTTTCAATAAGAAATTGAGGACGCATGTGGTTGTCTTTTTTTGGCGTGATTCTTTTGTCATTTTCTTACTACAATGCAAAGTGATTCTTTTGGGGAGGACATTGCAGAAACGGATACAGAGGATTCATCAGAATGTGACACTGGGGATGAATATGATGATGAATTCATTGACGATGAGGACGATGAATACCCTGGAATATTCTCTAATTCGTCAGTTCCTAAAAGTGGAGGTAATTTGAAAATTTTGTGAACTTTCTATCTGTACAAGTGCATGGCATTTTATCCATGTTTTTTAAGTGGTTCATTTAGTAGTGTTATAAAGTTGTTCTATTCGATAATAGGCTATTTTACTAGATATTTTGGTTTGAAGGGTGAAGGACCATATCACCACTTGGTAATTTGATTTGAAATCTGAACTGCCTGAGAAGGTTATATATTTTCATTTTGTTTCAAGGGTCTAAGATTCTATAGAGCTTCAATACCCATTAGAGAGTTACAAAATTGAGCCCGATCTTTATTATTATTCCCAAATTTGTGTCTTGTGAACTTTGAAGAATCCATACCGGATATTGACTACCTTTTTGAGGAACAGGGACATGGGACAAGAAACACAATCTTCACATGGTTGCCGCAAGGGGACCTGTTTGGGATCTGTGACCAGTATTTGCATCTTGGTCCTCCATGGATCCACTGGTATCTTGAGAGTGACTTCCTTTAATTCACTGGATTCTGCGGCACGATCTGGGAAAGCCTGTTTATTCGTTTTGCTAGTCTTAAGGACCATGCTAATATTAGGATTCATGGTCTTCCTTGGTTCTATCTACTTAGTGGGAGCTTCGGAACTAAAGAGAGGAATACGAGAATTATTAAACATGGGAGAGAGGCCAGCAAGGTCTGGAACTAGGCGTAATTCTTTTTAGTTAGTTGGCTATCTCTTCTCATTTTCCAAAGTTTTCGTCCAACTATTTTTTTACTTTGCGATTTGTGTCCTATCAGCTTTTGTTTGGTATGTTTGCACAAAATAAAAGTTTATCCTGTGGGATTTATTTGGTCATATATTGGAGTGTACGATTTCATTCCAAAAAAAAAAAAAAGAAAGCAATTTACGGAGTATATTTCACATTTCTTTGATGGAGTCAAATGTTTAGCCTCAATATTTTTATGCGACTTTGTTGTTATGATTTTAGTATATTGTTGCTACTATATCTTTTTGGGTGAAGCCATGCCGAACTTTACCGTTTTTACTTATTCAAAGTTCATTTTTGAACTCTTTCATTTCGACCTTGAACAATATTAATGTTTAATTCAAGTGTTTGTTTCCTTTCCCACGTTTGCTAGTTGTAATTGAGGAGATAGTGGATGATGAAAAATCAAATGATGCCAACGGTCGAGCCAAGAAAGTGAAGAAAAACAAGTCTAGTGACTCTGAAGACAATAGGAACTCACAGCGTCAGATTGTATTGAAAAGAAATGTGCAAAAAGCAGTTCCAGAAAGTGAAGATGAAGATGGATTTCCAATTCCTACTCAAAGCAAGAGCAAAGTAAATATTCAGAAGCTAGAATCTGAGCAAGAACAAAAAAACCCAAGTACTGGGAATGTGAAGGAGGCAAAAGCAAAAGATGGCAATGATGCTTCTAGCATAAAAAGAAAAGTCGAAAATGATGAGCAAGTTGATCTTTTGGAAAGGTGAGATTATTTAAGTACTCAATTATACAGCTTAATCTCTTTGGTTGGGCTCGAGGGAAGTTGTAGGGTGTTACCGGAGCAAGTTTGGGATGTTTTTTCTCCCTCTGATGAATTATTACCCGTGGCTTCTAAATTTTCTGCTTAGTGATGGGGATAAATTTTCCATCAGCAGGTTTACTCTAGTTAAATTTTTGGTAGGGTAAGGACAGTAAATGTAATTTTATCCCTGAACTTTAACCACATTGCTATTTAACAGTAAATGTTATTTCACTTTCTTATGTTGGAAATTTGATAATGATGCCAGCAAAAAGAAAAAGAAGCAAAAGAAGAAGGTAAAAGAAGAAAAGGCTGGGGAAGAGCCACCAAAAGAAGTGAAGAGTGAAGGTGTCAATCAGATTTCTGATGGAGATAAGAATGATAAAAAGCTATCTAAACAGAGGTGCGTATTTCAGTCTCATTCTAATGTCTCTGATACTATATTTGAAGATGATATGCATCTTTTCTGCATTAGTTCTGTTCTGATCTCTTCCATGTTTGGAAATATTACTGCTTAGTTTGATCCATTTTAAGGATGTAATTCTTTGCATAATGAGATTCACGCATGATCTAGGCCTTAGGGATCTACTCCATGACTCTGTTAACCAATTATACTTTTAGTAACTTAGTGAATATTATGAAATTTATGCCTTTTTTTTGAAGGATAGGTGAAATTAAGAACTATATTAAAAGATAAGTCTAGAGGGGAGTTAAATTACTAAGAGAGGCTCCAATTGGGAAGATTCAACGTCAGTGAGTAATTACATGTTTTTTTTTCTACGCCCCAAGAAAGGCATTTATTAAATGGGACAGACTTCGATTTTTGGCCCCTCCCTAAAACCTTCCATGCCTTTGAAAACCTTCTATTCTTTCCCAACAAATACACTATAAAGTTGCGAAGAGAGTGGCTTGCCGGAAAACATTCTAGTGAGTGCAACATAACCTACTTTATCATGGAAAACCTTCTATCAGGAGAGTGGCTGATGCCAATAATGTTCCAAAACCACAAGTAGAACTTCAAAATGAGATAAGTAGTCAGCATAAAACCCTTCAAAAACTTTGGAAAGAAGATGGGACGATATCTATCACTCAAAAGTGTGAATAGATCTGAAAATATTATTACTCAAGGAAACAATATAGAGTCAAGAATGAGAAATAGAATTGGGATCGAAGGTTCTATCTTCATTGATATTCACAGCGTTTAAATAGGATACAAGCTACCAACTAATACCTACAAATAAAAAAAATATAAACTAACTAAATTTTGAGAATAAAATAAAATATACTACTAATCAAATCATAAAAGGAAAAATATTAACTGATTACGAATATCTATGATATATTTCATAACTAATATATTCTCTAAATATTAAATGATTACGAATATCTTGACTAATTCAAACTAACAATAAGTTGCACTAAATTCTGACCGCCTCCCTTAGTGCAAACTTATTTCTCAAAAACTCCGAGAGCCTTACGAAAAACTTCAAACTTCACTTTGGCAAGTGAGTAAATATGTCTGCAACTTGGTCATTACAACATCTTGTGATAACACTCTCTCTCGAACAAAATGATAATGAGTTTCAACATGTTCGAGCACGAGCATGAAACACCGGATTTCCAGCAAGTTCTATTGCACTTTCATTATCACAATTAATTTGAATTGGCTGATGGAGAGTAGTAACCATTTCTTGAATAAGCCTCCTGAGCTACAAACATTCTTGAGTAGCCATTGTATCAGCTACATATCCTGCTTCCCAACTTGACAAAGCAACGGTGCTTTGCTTTTTACTACACCATGAAATTGCAGCAAAGCTTGCTGTAAAACAAAAACCTCTTGTGGAGCATATGTCGTTCACGTCATCGGCCCAATCAGCATCCACAAAACCACTAAGATTTTTATCAGGTTGAGCACCTCACCCCACTGGTCTAGAGTTATTGAAACCCGGCCCAGCTACACTTGAAGAAATGCCTCTTCCAGAGCCTGGAGAAGCTGGTGGGCTGGGACCGGGTGGCATGCCAGGAGTAAGTGACTACATTGGTCCTAGATGTCCAAAAGAAGATCCTATCATTGGCAATGGAATTCCATCCTGTTGACTCTCTCTCCCAGCAGGACTTCCTCGGCCTCCTCTCCCTACTCTATTTCCTTTCATCCCTTGCTGAGTAGCTCGATTGAAGGATCCCAACAGGAATAAGTGTTATTGCAGGATGTTGAATTGCAGAAAATACATACTATTTACCAAGTTATAGACATATTTACTAAGGCACTTGCCAAAGTGAAGTTTGAAGTTTTTCGTAAGGCTCTCGGAGTTATTGAGAAATAAGCTTGCACTAAGGGAGACTGTCAGAATTTAGTGCAACTTATTGTTAAGTGAATTAGTCAAGATATTCGTAATCAATTAATATTTGGAGAATATATTAGTTATGGAATATATCTTAGATATTCGTAATCAGTTAATCTCTTTATGATTTGATTAGTAGTATATTTTATTCTCAAGATTTAGTTAGTTTATATTTTCCTTATTGGTAGGTATTAGTGGGTAGCTTGTATCCTATTTAAACGTTGTGAATATCAATGAAGATTAAACCTTCGATCCTAATTCTATTTCTCATTCTTAACTCTGTATTGTTTCCTTGAGTAATAATATTTTTCAGATCTATTCACACTTTTGAGTGGTAGATATTGTGTCAAGAAGAAGGATTAAAGAGGAGAGAGAGGAACTAAGCAAGAGAAGGAAAAAATAATTGATGAACGTTGATAATAGATATGCCCAAGAGGGCTTATTCTTAAGTGGGACCGGATGAAACTGTGCCTTTATTAAGTTGGGGCGAACGGCATGATGTTGAAAATTCTATTGTTTCCTTTTTCTCGGCATGCTTTTCTGCATTACGAACTTACATTTATGTTATAATAATTTTGGATAAAGCTGAAACTTCACAGTTATTTCATGTTACAAGCACGTTGTTACTAGATAACTGAAAATTTTGATGGCTATGTGCATAGGGATGCCTCGACTCACATGGACGTTGTTGATGGTGAAAACCATTCGGAAGATAAACAAAAAAAGAAAAAGAAAAAAGAGAAGAAAAAAAAGGAGGAGAAGAACAAGGAGACTGAAGTCGGATCAAAATCCGAAGAACTAACTAAAACGGTGGGAGATCATCGTAAATCAACTCTCGGGTCAAAAGAGAAGGGAAGCGAATCCAAGTCATCTCAAGTGAGAACCTTTGCTAATGGGTTGGTTATTGAGGAGATAGCCATGGGTAAACCAGATGGTAAAAGAGCTTCACCCGGAAACCAGGTACGGTAGAAGTCTATTTACTTGAATGAATTTTTGTCCCGACCATAGGTTCTGCCTGTTGATTTTAGCTGACAAACCATGCAGTAGTATATGCTACAATTGAAGTTAGCTTTAGAATTTAGATGCAAATGGTAGGATTTGGTTGAAATCGGCTTTAGTAAGGTTAGGCGGTTCTCATGTGAGACTAGTCAAGGCTCGCACAAGTTGGCTCGGACACTCACAAATATAACTAAGGCTTCTCTGATTTCAGGTTAGTGTTCACTACATTGGCAAGCTAAAGAACGGCAAAATATTTGACAGTAACGTCGGTAGAGCACCGTTCAAATTCCGTTTAGGTAATTTTGGGTTAATGTGATGCATCTTTTCATTTATTAATGTGAAGTTCTTTGTTGTTGAAGAAAATATTTGGGTTTGTGACAGAACATTTAAATCATAACTTGCGTTGTCTTGTTGCAGGTTTGGGACAGGTGATAAAGGGATGGGATGTCGGGGTTAATGGTAATCATTTGAATGACCCAAGTTCTTTTGATGAGAAAAGATAAATTGAACTTTGATTTCGTCGCTTTGACTCTTACAAGTTTTTAACTTCGATTTTGGTTGAATCCTCTCAGGTATGCGTATTGGGGATAAAAGGAGATTGACTATTCCTCCATCAATGGGGTATGTAATTGTATTTATAATGTGATTATTATGATAATTTTGGTTGAATCCCCTCCTGTATGCGTATTAGAGATCCCACGTTGGTTGGAGAGGGTAACGAAACATTTCTTATAAGGGTGTCGAAACCTCTCCCTAGTACACGCATTTTAGAAAGCCCGAAAGGGAAAGCCTAAAGAAGACAATATTTGCTAGCGGTGGGCTTGGGCTGTTACAAATGGTATCAGAGCCTGGCACACCGGGCGGTGTGTCAGGGAGGACATTGGGCCCCTAAGGGGGTGGATTGTGAGATCTCACGTTGGTTGGAGAGGAGAACGAAACATTTCTTATAAGGGTGTGGAAACCTCTTCCTTGTAGATACATTTCAAAACCTCGAAGAAAAGCCCGAAAGGGAAAGCTCAAAAAGGACTATATCTATTAGCGGTGGTCTTTGGCTGTTACATTTTGAACGTGATGGGTAGAGTACACGTTAATCACTTGAAAAAGGGTTTATGTCGATTATTGCTGGAATTTTATACCCATTTGGCTGCAGAAAAAGGAACTTTAATTTGTTTTTGAACAAATGTTTTGGTGGATGCAGTTATGGAACTGCAGGTGCGGGAGGGAAGATTCCGCCGAACTCATGGCTTATTTTTGATGTGGAATTGGTTGGTGTCCGCTGAATTCAACGGCCTTCCCATTGCCTGACTGCACCAACTGGTAGTCTTAATGAAAATTTTGTTTCTATTTTTACTTACCATCAATCTCAATTTTGTATGTTACTTGATATCATCTGCGCGAACCTAATTTTGGATCAATGAGATCACATCTCTAAACTTACATTTAGATATGGAATTATGATTTTGGAGCTGAAAGTGTTGCTAATGTTTGTCGATATGAGCCTAACTTAATCATTCGAAAAGGCATCGCCTCGTTATAGTGGGCTATTTTCACTTCCTATTATTTTCACATTAGTTATTCTTCCGTCAGAATTTAGTGCAATTTATTGCTAGTTTGAATTAGTTATGAAATATATCTCAGATATTCGTAACCAGTTAATATTTGGAGAATATATTAGTTATGGAATATATCTTACATATTTGTAATCCGTTAATATTTTTTTCTTATGATTTGATTTAGTATATTTTATTTGATTCTCAAGATTTAGTTAGTTTATATTTTTAGGTATTAATTGGTAGCTTGTATCCTATTTAAACGTTGTGAATATCAATGAAGATAGAACCTTCTATCTCAATTCTTTTTCTCATTCTTAAATCTGTATTGTTTCCTTGAGTAATAATATTTCAGATTTATTCACACTTTTGAGGGTAGATATTGTGTTAGTTCATGCTCTAAACTTAGCCATGTCAATAAAATCCTCAAATATCGAACAAAGAATTGTGAGTCTCGAAGGTATAGTCAAAAGTGACTAAAGTGTTGACCGAAGAATGTACTTTGTTCGAGGGATTTAGAGAAATGAGTCGAGCATCGACGAAGGGGAGACTATTTGGGAGCTCCATAAACCTCAGGGGAGGCTTTAACACCAACTGACTCTACCACTCAAAAGTGAATAGATCTGAAAATATTATTATTCAAGTAAACAATGGGATTGAATGTTCTTAATCTTCATTGATATTCACAACGTTTAAATAGGATACAAGCTACACAATATAGAGTTAAGAATGAGAAATAGAATTGGGATCGAATTTTCTTAATCTTCATTGATATTCACAACGTTTAAATAGGATACAAGCTACCGACTAATACCTACAAATAAGGAAAATATAAACTAACTAAATTTTGAGAAACAAATAAAATATACTACTAATCAAATCATAAAAGAAAAATATTATCTGACTACGAATATCTAAGATATATTTCATAGCTAATATATTCTCTAAATATTAACTGATTACGAATATCTAAGATATATTCAATAACTAATTCAAACGAGTAATAAGTTGCACTAAATTCTGACAGACTTATAGTTGTACTTTGTTCGAGGATTATTGAGAGTGAGTCTCACATTGGTTAATTTAGTGGAAGATCATAAGTGAGGAATACTATCTCTATTGGTATGAGGTCTTTTGGGTAACCCAAAGCAAAGCCAAGAGCTTATGCTCTAAGTCGATAATATCATATCACTGTGGAGAGTCGTGATTTCTAACATCTTATGCTTTTTTGCAAAACTGACAACTTGAGAAAATTTTAAATAACATCCCATGAACCAATAAACGACTGTAGCAATCTTTTTATGGAGCTGCTTCCTCAAGTTAAAATTTGATTTGATTGGATTTATGTTATTTTCTCGAGGTGTCATCCAGGGGTGTGCTTGAGTCGGATTGAAGAATTTGTTTGGACCAACTCAAAAGTTTAGGTTCAATTTTTGGACGGACTCGAGCGAGTAAGCTGGACAATAAGAATAAGGAGAACAAATAGACAAAGATAGTGAGAATATTGTCGAACCCAGATTACAAATTACTAAATCGTAGACGACCATTTCACCGGTTGAGGTAATCTTAATTATGGGGTTTGACTCGTTCGATGCTTTGGATGGACGTTTAAGTATCAAAGTGGATGGAAATAATTGTGGGTTGATATAACATAAATCAATCCTGTTTAATGGTAATAACAAAAACTAAATGGTAGCTAATGAAGTTGATACTGAAATGATCTTCACTCAAACACAACAATATTCTGATACAGAAAGCACATGGGAATGAAAGTGGAAAACAATGTTTCTCAAATCTTTTGCAAATCTAAAAGTTTTCCGTTACTGCTAAAGTCGAGAGAGGAGTCTCTAAGCTCACATCATCTACTCCGAGACTATTACGTTACTCGACCTATTAGCTAGCAGGTGGTATCCGTGGAAATTCATTTGTTAAAGCCTGTAAAAAGACACTATGGAACCTATTACCTAATGGACAAGAGCACAATACTACGTTAAACCAACACATGTCACCCAAAAGAGCTTATTTCGGCGTCGAAAACGGGCTGAGCTGAGTTAGGAACCTATGAAATCTATGGAGGAGAATGATGAAAAACTAATTCAAAGCAAAAGGTTCAACAAGAAACCTCACAGTTTGATTGACTTTGAGTTTTGGGTTCTTGTTCTGATAGAGGTAAGTTGTCAGTGGAGGAGATTTTGAAGGGTGTCACTGCGCTTGGCGATGGTGGCTTATGTTCTTGATTGGACGGTGTGGTGACAATAGGCTTGATACCACCGGTGTATGCCGCCTTCATTTCTTCACCGCTGATGGTATTGATGGGAGGAAAGAATATGGTTGTGGCCTCATTTCTAGGCTTCTTTGGCTTCTGTTCTTGCTGGTGACCCGGAAGGAAACTACCTACCACAACCTGGTAAAGGGTCCATGGATTATATCATTATCAAAACAAAGTTGAAAACAAGTTGAGAGAAAGAGAGAGGTCCTACTTGAACAGGACCAGCAGCTACCAACAACCCAGCAAGTCCACCGCCGACAACTCGTCCATCTTGACCCGCTAGGGAAACGCTCATCCCACCACATCTACTCTTCGTCGCTCCATTCTGCGTCGGCATAAACGATCCAGTCAATGTGAGTATTTCAAAACAACCCTGCCAAGACGAGTCGAAAAGCCATATCAGTAGAACATCGTCAAGAATTCGATAAGAACGAGAGTGAAGTTGTTATGTGTTGAGAATTATTGGGAGAGGAGTCCCACGTCGGCTAATTAAAGGGTTGATCATGGATTTATAAGTATGAGGCCTTTTGGGCTCTCAAAGTAAAGCTACGAGAGCCTATGCTCAAAGTGGATAATATCATACCATTGTGGAGGGTCGTGATTCCTAACATTATGTTCCGTTTATAAAAGCAAATCAATATGTCATATTTGAAGACGTTTGGATATCCAACATCATCACTTAGACAAGAGGATTAACAACATGAGCATTTTTCATGTCAACAGTGAAAACCTAATCTAAAACCGACAGAAAAAGATTAGCAACAATGTGTTAATCATGTCTGAATTCAGTATTCATTCAGATGGAATCAAACCAAGAAAAAACAGGAACAGACAAGGAAAAGACATTGTGTATATGGATACAGAAATCATGTCTGGAAACATCAACAGTCGACATTAGAACTTAAATGTCCAATAAGAACATGGCCCTACCTCGTACGTTAAGGTACCTCCGGAAGAAGTGGCCTGTCGAAGTGTGACATTTGAAATTGTGCCATTTGCAGAAAGAATGCAAATAGCTCGGGATTCTTGCTGAGAGAGAGACATGATCTTCATAGTAATGTCCTAATACAAAAGGATAAAAATGCAGTAATCAGCTTAGTTATGAGTTCAAGAAATTTGTGTACAAAGGATCGTATCGGAGAGCTTTTCGCATCTCCTCGGGCAGGCAGCACTATTTTGTGACATTTTATGTACTCCTAGGAGGCCGTTTTTTGTCCCCATTGTAAGATCCCACATCGGTTGGGGAGGAGAACGAAACATTTTTTAGAAGGGTGTGGAAACCTCTCTCTAGTAAACGCATTTAAAAAATCTTGAGAGGAAGCCCAAAGAGGACAATATCTGCTAGCAGTGGGCTTGGGCCGTTACACCCACCATCTCCCTCTTCCTTCCCACTCACCCTCTACCATGAAAAGAATGTACTTTACTCTCTCTTTTACTCGTTTATATATAAAAAAAAAAACTCGGATACATAGAGAGTTTGTCGAAGAACTACAGGACGAATCTTCTAATCAAGCTTTGCTCTATAAACTTCTCAACTAATACCATTTTCATGACAGCAATAGTTTCTTTTTCTTTTTCGAGTTCAAACACGTGGGGTGACTAGAATTCGAACCTCTAACCTCTCTGGGTTTGCATATATCTTAACCAATTGAACTACACTCAAGTTGACCTTAACCGCAAAAGCTAATCCTACCCGGAACACGTGCAAGAATCACAATGGTGCCCAAGGTCCGATGTTCTCACAGCCAACCCCATAACAAAACGAAAGATCGAAACCTAATCAAAGTCTATTATCGTATACGATCCCTGAAGCATACCTCTCCAGCATTGACAGTGATAACATGGGGAGTAAAATTAGCACCAACAGAGTATGCAAGTTTCTGACCTGCAAAAACAAATTCAAAACAATGTTATTTCCACATTCAAATGAAAAAAAAAAAAACTCCCTATTTCTTAAATGCTACCCCAGTAACTGTATCACATAATAAATGCAAATGAATACACAAAATTATGCACATGAACCTAAAAGAGTTCCTGCCCAAACCTATCATGCTCAAATGCCATTAAGTTGATAAGGACCAGTGTTTACTCGCTTTTAATACCCATCAAGAAAGAACCATTAAGCAATAGCAGAATGAACTCAAAGCAGCTTCATGATTAATCGATTGACCTCTTAATCGAAGATATATGTCTTAATCATTTGAGCTTAATCAGTTGGGAAACAGCTCAGAATGTTTTGGCTCCATAATTTGTGTAATCTTTAAACTTGTTGTTATGGGTTCACAGTACAAAAATAATTGTGTGTTCTACAGTAACTTTTAACAGAACTTGCTTTGGGTAGCTAAGTACAAAAGGAAACCAGTTTTTGAGGACAAAGGGTCCACTACCGCACCCACACACACACACACACACACATCAAAAACTGACAAACAACCGCTTGAGTCAATGTCCACTCTTAAAACCAGACATTGCCATCGTACTTCACTGACATCGCAATCAGCTAACATTCAGTAGCCATGGCCACAGATCTGAGCTCAGAAAAGCTTATAACAGAGGCCAGAAAAGAAACATACCCGGATTCTCAAACTCAAATCTCTGTGGCTTTTTGATTATCGCTAGAGACATGTCGTTGTCACGTTTCCAGTTCGGGAACTCGCCGGTCAG